CGCTCGCACCCCATGTGGTACATGTGGTGGAACGAAATTGTGTACACAGTGTCCCAGTTACATCCAACAAAAGTATTAAAATGTAAAAGAAAAACCGTAATAAGATCTAATATATGAACCAAGAGAAACATTAAACTAAAAACACACTAAGCACTAGTAGCATACAAATAATACGCCGAACAGCAGCACGAACATGAGTCTGTGTGAGCAGATGAGTACAAATGAACACAGCAACATGAAACAGATCAGCAGCAACATGAAACAGATCAACAGCAACATGAAACAGATCAGCATCAACATGAAACAGAGCAGCAGCAACATGAAACAGATCAACAGCAACATGAAACAGAGCAGCAGCAACATGAAACAGATCAGCAGCAACATGATTTGATTTTTCACAGTGATTATTCTGGTCAAAGATTCATGAGTCTAACAGCCTCAGGGTAGAAGCAGTTCCTCAGTCTTGTGGTTCTACACTTAATGCTTCTCAACCTCCTTCCTGAGGGGAGCGGGACAAAAATTGTGAGTGCTGGATGAGTGGGGTCCTTCATGATGTTGTTTCTCATCATAAGCTGATCATAGAGTAACTCCTTCAAGGGACTCTTTAATTCTTTCAGGTTCTATATTTCTTTATACTGGGGCGGCTGTGGCTGAGTGGTTAGAGCAGTTGTCCTCCAATGCAAGAGTTGGGGGTTCGATTCCACCAGCAGGCACATGCCAAAGTGTCCCTGGATAGCCTTTAATGTGTGTCCCATCAGTGTATGAATGTGATAAAGCTCTGATTATTCTTTGTAAGGATATAGTAGAGTGCTGTATGAATGGGTAAATGAAGCACAGATTGTGTTGTAAAGAGCTTTGAGTATCGAGAAGAAGGAAAGGCGCTATATAAGTACAGTCCATTTACCATTACATTCAGTGGTGTAGTCTATGTGATACGTGGGTATACAAAGTATACCCACTAGAAAAGCTTGGGAATTTCAGTATACCCACTTAAAAGTGCCCAATGACACGAGCCCATACATGACATGGGCTCGTGTCATTGTCAACACATCTGGAACATTTTATAGACACACTGAGTTGGTTCAACCTGTTTTTTTGTATAAATACTTCTGTACTTACTACTTAAAACATGAACGTGTCTTGCTTTGATGCTGTTTTATAAAATATGTAACGTGGTTTTAATACAAAGCCAACTGTTGTACTAAGTTTGTTGTTCGTTTATTCAAATATAAGCATCAGAGAAACTTGGAAACATTCGATACGCTTAAAAATCAAAATAAATTGATGATTACATTGTACTGACTGGTGTACTTTGGTTTCTAAGCGCAGTATACCCAGTACAAAAATGTAGACTACACCACTGATTACATTATACATGGACATTCTAATACTTTTAATAGAAACTGTTTAATTGCATCCAAGAACAACAACCTTTAAGGTTTTCAGTCATAACACTTTTGAGAGGTGTTTGGATCTGTGAAGAGATCCAGGTTTGACCTTTAGAGTTGCAGGCACTCTTCAAACGACCCGTTGTTTTTTTGTTTGTTTGTTCTTAATGAAGCTTATTTGCCACAATTCAGCCGTTTGTGCACTTGACACGCCTTTAGTCTCCCTGAAAATGAAGGTTTCTGAACCCTGGTCTCAGAGTGGAGGTTTTAGAGGGAAAGCCCCTCCCGCCTCCGCTGGTATTTATTGCAACTGTTGTAACAATAGTTACAATAAATGGCAGAGTGATGTTGTGCTACTCGCCCATTTTCAGCATGTAGGAGCAAACCAACAACATCCTCGGTCCATAGGAACATTTGTGTGTTCACTAGTTGGGACATAGCTGTGATCATGAAGGCACTGCATGCCAGTGTTGCCAGATAAACATAAATACGTTGTTGCTGCTTTTGTACCCCCTCCTTTTCTGTACACACGTTCACCAAACACAGCACACCCTCACTCATCACATGACAGTTTGGGTCAAAATACATCCATTTTAAAGCGACAGTACAAAACCTCGTCATGTCTTATCTAGCAACCCTGCCTGGCTTGGAAACTGCAGCGGATCCATGTCAACAGGCTCTTTTTTAATTTATTCACCCCGATAAACACAAACGTTTCCAGAGGTGGTTCTCATGTAAACAGGGCTACAGAGGTAAGAAAGAAAAGCGTTAGAAAGTTGAGAAATTGAGCTCAGAGTCGGAGTTCTCCTGCTGCTCGTTCACAAACACCGACGCGTCCGTTCGTTCACAACGTTACAGGCAAACACGTTAATTACTTCTCTGTGGTGGAGGCCAAATAAATATCACTTTAAACACTGTAACAGTTGTTGTGCTCCAAAGTTGGTCACCTGGACTCGAGGAAAGTACGTATAAAAGTCTTTCAAACACTCAAAGTACATGAAAAAACTAGATGTTTGTAGTTCATGCGTGAAGTTATTTTGAGCCCATTCCATGACCCAAGTTTAGACATTTTGTTCAACAGTGTTTTGAGGAAATTATAAAAACATTTTGGCAGCGTAAACTATTTTTGCCTTATTTTAAAGAAACCATGTGACGGTTTAGTCATTCACAATTTAAAAGCTGAGCTCGTGACAGGCATTGAATGCAGATTTAATTAAGCAGCTTGATTAATATACAATAAGTCATTTAGCCCATCTACGGTAATTAAAACCTGTCTGAGCCTTAAACTCTTCTAAACAATGAACTAATGACTTTTTAAGGAAAAGAACAAACAATACCAGCTAAATTATGCCTTTCCTAAATATTTTTACTATGAAATAAAAGTAGCTCTTTTAGCAATAAATAATTATATTGCAGCCTAAAGGCTTTAAAAGCGTCGACATAAGTGTGTTTGATATTTAATTATGACCTACATTTCCTCAAATAAAGGCAGAGACCTTTATTTTAATGAAGTGCTCTGGGTGTCTGGCTTTTATTAAAAACAAGCCTTTATTTCTAATTTTCTCATTATAAGAATGACGTGAGCTGACGTTTCTATAAACCTTTAATTTTCTGCTCCGTGTTTTGTTTCATACTTGGAAAACATTTTCAATTAGATTTTAAAAAGTGAACTGTAGTTTGGTGCAAATTGCAGGAAAAAGACTGACAAGGGAAACTTTATACCTACATTAAGAAAAGATTACTGAAAAGAGCATTTATATAAAATTAATATTTTATTAAATGTGTCCACACACAGAGCCCGACCTACTTTAATAATTTATATTTGCAACATTTCCACACACATACTGAATACATTTGGAGAGGGAAAGTGCTAAAACAGCTGTCTTGTAATTACAAATATATAAATACAAATGTTTAAAGAGCCGCAAGTATCTGTAGATCTGTGCTCTGCAGACCGTGTTAAAAGAACTAACGTGTTAACTAGAGAAATTGCATTTCCTGCTAAAATGCAGTGTGAATTCTTATGACCGAAGACCCTGCTGAAAACAGCTAAAATTAGCTAAAATAAAAATTAAAAAACGTGCAGAAACACAGCTGAAAATGTAGAATGTAAATCGGCAGGAGAGAGCAGAAAGAAATCAAAAGTTGAAATGTGTGCAAAAAATGTGGAATTAGCTGGAAAAGCTAATATTAGCAAAAAGACAGCTAAATATTAGCTGAAATAATGGAAACTAGCAGAAATAAGCTGAAAAGAGAAAGTGAAATTAACATAAATAATTTAATAAGGATGAAAGTAGCAGAAATTACATGAAAAACTTGAATTTATCTGAAAGCAGCTGAAATTAGTTTAAATACGCTGAAAAGCTAGAACTAGCTTAAATTAGCATAAGAACGTTAGGCCAATTAGGCTGAAAGATGCGGAAAGAGCACAAAAAAGGCTGAAATTAGCATAAAACCAACTGAAAAGCTGTTAAAAAATCAGAAAGAAGCTTAAATTACCAGAAGGAAGTAGAGAGAGCACATTTATGCTGAATTAGGCTGAAAAAGTTGAAATGAGTGCAACAAACGTGGAATTAGCTGAAAAAGCTAAAATTATTATAAAACGGCTAAATCGTAGAGGAAATAGTAGAAAAAGCTGAAACTTGCAGAAATAAGCTGAAAGGGGCATAACAAGCTGGAATTAGGAAAAATAATCTGAAAGGAGCACAAAACAGCTGAAAAACTGCTGAAAGTAGCTGAAAACAGTTTAAATTTGCAGAAGGAAGCTGAAAGAAGCTGAAGCAGAACAAAATGTGAAAGGAGCAGTAAAAGATTGTGAACAGATCTGAAGATGTGAAGGAGGTAAAATGAGCTCAGTTCATTTTCTTTGAGGGAAAAAAAGTGGCAGAAAAGGCTAAATATTTCAAAAAGCTAAAGTTGCACCGATACTAAAAGTCACAGCAACCTTCCTCTGAACGAGCTGAACGTTTTGATATATTGAAATAGCATAAAAATTGTGGGGACGAGAAAGATGCCAGAAAACGTACAAAAGAAAAATGGACCACATTGTGTGAACGCTTCGTAAACATTCACAGTTACAAACAACGTTCACAAAGAATGAAATGTTTTATGTACAGGTGACCACATTTGTTTCAGACCCCTGCTCTCATGGGTTTTGGTTGCACTTCTGGAGTGAGTTGTCGTGAGTGTATTTGTTCGTCGTAGCACGAGGAAGTGTCACTGATGGCAGCATTGTTCGATGGAAGCGCCGCGGCCTGGAAGGCACAATGGCCGTGCAGCGGTGGAAGGCTGCGAGGGGAGAATGGGGTTCCTGCTCGCTGTTCACCAGCGGTCTTTGTTCATTGTTATGAATAATACATCAGAGGCACATGAGTTTGATTCATATTGCTGCTGGCTCTGCTCTCCAAACTGCCCTCACTTATCACGCCCCGTCTTGTTTCTGGGTTCAGTGTGTCTGCTGACGCCAGCGGTCCGTTTGATCAATCAGGGGCGACGCACGCCCGACTTTTGAAACGGCTTCGTCCTTGCGGGCCGTTTCCGGCCGCAGAGATGCAAGCAGGTCAGTCGCTCAGACTAATTCGTCTCTCTCCTCCCTGTTCTGTCTGTTCCCAGTAGCCGACTGACTCCCAGTAACCACGACCGGATACAGAAGCTGCGGCAGGAGTTCCAGCAGGCCCAGACCGTCCCGGACGACCCGGACGATCGCAGAAGGACCTACAGCTTCGAGCAGACCTGGGTGAGTGTCTGACGCGGCCCGTCGAGAGGGGACGGCTTTACCGTGCGACGGCCGGACGAAGACTCGAGCGTTAGCGCCTGTCCGTTCGTGTGGCCACCCGCCCAGCATCACTAACCTCACTACCATCAGCCATGAACAAAGACCGATGATCCTCTCACATGTCAGGATCATCATTAACCTCCATGGGCCTTCCTGCCTCATTAATTAACTGACTGCATGCTGGAGTCCATCACTAACCGCATCTGTTGCAACCCACTCCACTCATCCATCATCCCTGTCTGTGTCTGTCAGTCACCCACGTGGACCCGCCCACCGGCGCCTCATGGACTCTGGGTCGTCTGTTCGCAGCCTGATTCTTTGAACTGTGCCTTTTTACCGTTCAGTCGTTTTATCAAATATCTGTTTAACTCGAGCTCTGAAGGCTCAAGACATTAGAGGATTCTGAAGCAACAAAAAGTAATCGAACAACTCCGAAGGCCTTCCGGGTTCTTTTTTTTATATATACATATTACGAGGTGATGAAATGGCTTGTCATGTTTTTACTTATTTATTTCACTCCTCTTCCATGAACTGCACCTCAGGTGGTTTGACAAGCGTCAAATGATGCCTTCATGAACAGATTTTACCTTTTGACATTTATATTTCCTCTCAATGTAATAAGTATTATGTTTTTCTTTTTACACACCACATAGGTAAGTTCTGTCATTGTTAAGAGTGAGACATCACCCCCTTTTTTTTAACTAGACATGCACGATATTATCGGCATGGTATCGGTATCGGACGATATTAGCGATAAAGTTAAATATCGGACATCGGCCATTCCATCAAAATAACTCACTAATACAAAAGGCACTGTTTATATATATATATATATGCCACTGTTCTTATATGACAACCCAGTGACAAGGATGCCTGCAGCACCAGCACAATATTATGACGTCACACGTACGGTTTAGATTTTAGAGTTTAGATTTGTGAAAATTTACAAATTTGCACTGTTCGAGTGTTGTCATTGTGTTAGAGTGAATGTCATGAATAAATTTGGCATTAAACATAATCCAAGTTGAAGTGTTACATCATTTTCAGCTCCTTTTTGGCATCTGCATTTGGTGGCAGGCCAAATTGACAAAGGTCGTGCAGAATAATCTAGTATTTTAATTCCACAGCAGAGAAAGCTATGTAGTCTCTGTAAGTAGGTCTAGGGGAAAAAATATCGGTATTGGTATCGGATATCGGCCAAAAATCCAATATCGTGCATCCCTAGTTTTAACACAATCTGTCACAGTTTCCTCCTAATCCGAACAGATTATCACACAATAGATGTTCATGGTTGTATCATTCATGTTTGGTTTGTAGGTGGCACAAATCTGCACTGTTCCCATTGTGTGTAAATAATGTTATTTACAACGAATATTATGAACACTTGTTGTTTTTCTACACACGGTTGCATTTTTGTTTTTTTTTTGTAAGTTTCTCTTTTTACTTCCGGTGCAGTTCCTCTTAAGTCTTTGTTGTGTAAAAGGGAAAGTTGTGCCGATGATTGATGATGGAAATGATACACTGTGCTCGGGCTTGCTTTTATTGCTCCTGACTGAAAATCCCAATAAAATGCTGTAGTGTTATGTAGCACTTGGCGGTGTTACAGGAGTCGTGCGTGTTAATGGGATGAGTTGATGGGAGCACATTCCAGTCAGCTTTGTGCAGCCGGGGCGGGAAAGTGTGGGAAAGAATTGCGCAGGTCCTCGTCCTCTTTGTTTCCAAACAACTGCGCGCTTGAAATGAAAAATCTGAACTACAACACGCTTTTTTTCTTCTTTTTTTTTTTCCAGTTTCACCACCTTCCTGTTGTCATTCTATTCATTTTCCCATGAAGACATTATTAGTTACCCACGCTCAGAAAGAGAAAGGTCCATTTTCCCTTCAAATAAGAGTCCACAAATAAACCCCGAACTGTAAATATGTCAGTATTAAAGCTTTATTTAGTCTAAAAATAAAACAAAACTGTTTTCACAGACCCCATGACCCTCTTAACGGTCATTCCTTGTCCTGTTTACGTCGTCAGCTCAAGCTTCCTGTCTGTAATCGTATATATTAGTCTCATGCTCTGAGCCGAATGGAAAACAGCAGAAGGCCTCTTTGAAATTCAATTACTCGTCCTGTGAGCACGTTACATTTTGTTGCTTCATCTGAGAGATGCGCCGCAAACCTCAAGAAGTCCGTGTCCTTTTTTTGAACTCGCCTCCAGTTTCCTCAGTAACATGCCTGCTACATGCAGGGTCCTGCCCACGTACGCCTTGAAACACAGAAGCACAGGAGTCTTATAATGGGGGGAAATATTAAATCTCAAATAGAGCTAAATTGTGTAAACTTTAAGTAATGTAATTTCCAGACTATTGAGCGCACCTGAATATATGAGCTGCGACCACTAACTAAATTTAAAAAGGAATCAAAAAAGGAATTGATCAGTTACGCTGTGACGATTGAACATATACGTTCTAAAATAATTTAAAATAACCTTTAACACTTTTATATTTTGTGATTATGACGATGTTACGATGCGACATACTTTGAATTTTAAGTTGGAAGACGGAAGGCGAGCGCTGGCAGGTGGCGGAGAGCGGAGATCATGACATCGGGAGCTTCTCTCTGCACATAATGATTTAACACATCATTTTAAATAATTTATTTTACATTAACAATCCGTGTCGATCGTGCGGCTCGTCCATCAATCAGCCCATCGTGTGTCGTGTCCACTCTTACTTCGAAAAACCACGAAAGAGCGAGTCCGCGCAAGTCGAACTACAAATTAGCGCGGGACTAATGCATTTATAGGCCGCACGTGTCCACATTGTAACGTGAGATATTTACACAGAAAGATTTTTAAACTTTTAATTAAATACATACCGGTAACATACAGTAATTTATTTGTTTTATTTTTTCTGAACAGTGCCTGCAACACAGCTGGTTACAAAACAACAGTAGCCTACCAGGAAGTCATGGATCATCTTCCTCTGGCCACTGTGCACAGTAATACACAATAATGTATTATTTACACTTATTTGAAGTGAATACTTTGTTGTAAAACAAAGTTTCCCCCTCCCTGGGGGCACAACGGGGACGGTTCCCCCCTTCCCAGTGTCCCAGTGAAACTCAGTGGTACATTGTGATCTGTTCAGTAATTTCACTGGTTAGTTTTAAAACCTTTATGTATACAGATGTGTATTGGGCAGCAATGTGAGTGCCCGGGTGTGACGAGGCTAAATGTTTTGGCGGCATGAAGCTTGTTAGCCCGTCAAAAAATAAAATGTAAAAATCCATAAATTAGCCGCAGCGTTGTATACACCGCCATGTTCAAAACGTGAAAAAAGAAGCAGCTTGTAGTCCAGAACTTACGGTAGGTTTGACCAGATCCAGCGCTGAGTTCAACGTCTTTTAGGACAGTTTTGTTAAAGTTATGACCCGCTGGTTGTAATTTAATCTCGTTTTTCTCTTTAAATTTTTAAAGCTACAGAATATTTTATCTAATTTATGGCTGAACTGAAAATCTGTTTGTCAAAGTCAACTTTATTGTCAACACTGTAATTTGTACAGGACATACACAGGATTGGAATTTCATTACTCTCAGACCCCTGGTGCAACAATAAACATTAAAACTTAATAAACATCAGCATAAAATGAAATAATAAAAGTATGATACTATCCTAAATTGTATGTATAGCAGTATAAAAATATTAAAAATGTATAAGTTTTTAGGTCATGATTAAAATATTTAGGAAACTAAATGTTATATTTTCTTCAAAACTGGATCGACCTACTGAGATTTCTCTTCCTGCTTTTTGAAACGCATTTACAAATAAAATAAAACGGAAAGAAAAATTACACTAGATCAAATTTATATTCCGTATTATTGATCTTTAAACCTGTATTTTTAGCAACAGGAAATGTGCTTAGTAGAAAACAAGAAAAGCCCCTTTTCCTTCGGTATTTCGTTTAAAATAAAATGTAGTAAAGCGTAACATAAGGGAGGTGGAGAAACAACAAATAATCAGATTTCTTGTCGGATCTGATTTTTCAGATTTCTTCTAATGTTTATGATATTAAAAAATAACCCGCCGGACTCTTGTTTTGGTCCGCTGTACACAGAAATCCTCAACAGGGTGTGTGGAAACACTAAACCTGTTTGACCTTTGACCTGAGAGGTGATCACTTCAGAATGTAACTAAAACACAGACTTTGTTCATCCTGTGATTAAATCCATTTTCATCTTAGATGCTCAGACTCAGCTTTGTTTCTACGGTCAGTGTGATTTCTTGTCATTGACAGGGGGGTACCCTCGCCTGTGTTTCTCCTGCTTTGTTTGGAGGCGCAGCAGAGGATTGTGGGTAACGTGGTCTAATTCTATCAGAGATGACTGATGCCCGCTCCCCCAGCAGCAGCGCACCGCGCTTTATTGCACCCATTTATACCAGTATGGGAGTGGAGGAGTTTATTCAATTGCTGTTGGGGTTTAGAGGAGCCCTAATATTTCTTCTTGTGTTTTACTGTAACATTTAAAACTCATATTCTCTGACTTCCTGTAAGATATTTTCCACCTCCCACCTTTAATTCAATCAGACGAGCCAACATCCTTAAAAATATTCAACACTCGTGATCCTCTAAAGGAATATTTCCTTCTGGTGAGAACTATTCCACTCGTCTCTTTCCAGTTCGGATCTAGAAGCATGTCTGTGTCTCCCCCCCCCAATCAGCTGAGCAATGAGCCAACGCCAGTCACCCCAGAGATGATTGCCCCGGCTTCATTTGGTTTAAAGGGGGAGTCTCTTTAGCCCTCCTAATCGTTTTATGGCCTTCCCACCGACTGATGTCTGCGCTGCTCCCACGCCACACTCAATACGCTGCACAGCTATAAAAGTAATTAGGTCGGCTTTGTGCTGCAAATAACCTGCAGCCAGCTATTGCACCCAGACCGCTAATGAACATCGGAGGAGTTGTGGTACAAG